TTTTTTTTTTTTTTTTTTTTTTTAACCCAAACGTCAAAGCGTCGTTTTGCCCAACCTTTCGCCCCTTAATTACCATTCCTGATCCCTTGTTCGAATTACTCTCAGTTGCCTCTTCTTCTCTTGCCCGTTCCGTCTCTTTGCCCGATACGCCATTCCTCCGTTCTTCCGTTCTCCACCCCTCGACTCCCTCGAGGCGTTCCTCGTGACTGTTCAACCTATTCCGTGACTAATTGCACACGGAAGTGCAGGGGACGCCTCGAATTGTACGGTGTGCAGGTGCGTAAGCAAAAGGGTTAGCCGAACCCTTTCCTTCTCTCGTCCCCCTCTGTCCCCTTGTCCACGATCGTTCGCAATCCTCCTCGCCGTTTGCAGACCTCGAGTTTAATCGCCTAAGACTTCGAACGTTTGTGGCTCGCATCGTCTGAGAATAAGGAATAATTCTTTCAAATGATCGAGCTTCGATTCTCGTTGATGTGAAGCTGCTTAATTCTAATATTTTTATATCGAGCTATGAAATGGCTGTGTCCTTTCTTTCTCTTTCTCGAAGGAACTGACAGTTTTAAGGCGGATCTGTAAGGATTGGAAGTTGCGAGAGGAATTGGAACGGTCGAGATCCGTTTCTGCTTCTGCTTGGATCTGTGCAGGCTTAACCTGGAACTGTCTTCTCTGGCCTTGGACGAAATAAGAGCTCCTCCTGAGCTGGTTTGACAAATCGCGCGATCACGTTTGAACAGTCGCCTCGATCGTCGCTGCTCGAGTTACTTTCCCAGGATTTTTTTGAATGAATCTTTAATTTGCCGGGGGATTTTATTCTTTGATGAAGTAAATCTTATAAAGAGAATACAGGGTGTCCCGAGGTTTTGCAATTCTAAAATCTCTGAAGCTCCAAAGATTTCCAAGTTTCTCGGATTTCTGGACCTGCAAAAATTCGAATTTTCCCCGAGATTTGGAACATTTCTAAAATTGTGGAAGTCTCAAGTTTCCAAGTCCCAAGTTTCGAAAATTTCGAATTTGCAAAATTGCGAAACTTCGAGATGTCCAGAATTCCGAGTAATCCTCTAAAATTGTAATTAACGAATCATACTCCTCGAGAAAATCCTGCTCTCTTTTATTCGAATATGCATCAGCTTATCGTGCTCTCATCGCACGGTGCGCGAGCTTGAATCGAGGCAATCCACCCTTCGAATTTCACACGGAATTCTCAAAAATCTCTTCAGATGTACATATATATCGAAAGCTTTGAAAGCTGCGCACCTGCACATCCTGATGTATCGGCAT